AGGGAAAAAGGCACTGGGAAAGACACAAGAGGAACAAGTAATGAAAGAAAGGGAAGAGGAGAAAAGCTCTCTTCTCCGTCCCAAAATGCTGGAGACCTAGAAAGAAGCACGGTAGTGGAGAGAGGATAAGGAGACCGCTTGGAGGGAAACATGTAGTAGAGAGAGGGTAAGGGAATGTAACGGATAATAGGTTTCGTCCCAAAGCACACAGAGACAAGCAAGGAGACTTATACGAAGGAAGACAAGTAGGGAGAAGCATTCTGCCCAAAGCAGCCTGAGAGAAGAATAGCAATGGGGAGCGAATGAAGGATACAACTTGGAGAGAACAAGGGAGACAAGTATACAACTTGGAGAGAACAAGGAAGACACGTACGGAAACAGATGGCAGACGAGAAGAATCAGGGGTCCCAACAAGCACCTAGAAAGAAGAAGAGCAAGAGAGAGAGAGAGAGAGAAAGAAAAAAAGAAAGAAAGAAAGAAAGAAAGGAAAGGAAAGGAAAGAAAGAAAGGAAAGAAAGAAAGAAAGAAGGGCACGAAATGGAGACAACAAGGACGACAAGTACGGAAACAGACAATGGACAAGGAGCATCCGATGAGCATCCTGTGCGCCGGAAGCACCCAGAGAGAACAACAGCAACGAAGAAAGAAGTGTCAAAACAAGTTGAGAACAAGCAGAGAGACGGGCGCAGAAACAGATGGGACACAACGAGAGTCGTTTCCCCAAAGCAACCAAAACAAAGAACACTGAGCAATGGATCAACAAGGGAGACAAGCACAGAAACAGGTGGAAAACAAGGAGAACTTTGCGTCCCAAACGTACCCAGAGAAAAGAATAGCAATAGATAGAGAAGTACGGAAACAAGTTTGAGACAACAAGGGGAACGAACACGGAAACAAATGGGAGACGAAGAGAGAAGAGTATCCTGTGCCCAGAAGCATCCAGGAAGAAGAACAGTAACACGGATGGACAAAAGGAATGGAGAGAGGAGGACTGCAACACAAATGAAGGACTCGGGAATGTTTATGGCCCCAAAGCACCTAGAGGTCCTAAAGCCTAGACACACGTGGGAGACAAGGAGAATCTTGGGTCCCAAAAGCACCTAAAGAGAACAACGGTAGTGAGGAGAGAAGCGAAGAAGGCAATGGGAAAGACTAGAGCAACAAGTAATGAAAGAAAGGAAAGAGGAGAAACACTCTCCTCTCCGTCCCAAAATGCTGGTGACCCGGAAAGAAGCACGGTAGTGGAGAGATGATAAGGAGACAAGTTGGGGACAAGTAGGAAGTCAAGTAGGGTAACATGTGGTAGTGACCGAGGGTAAGGGAATGTAACGGATAATAGGTTTCGTCCCAAAGCACGCAGAGACAAGTACAGAAAGCAGCCTAAGAGAAGAAATGAGAAGAATAGCACGGGGGAGGCAATTAAGGATACAACTTGGAGAGAACAAGGGAGACAAGTACGCAAACAGATGGGAGACGAAGAGAATCATGTGTCCAAATAAGCACCTAGAGAGAAGAACAGCGCGAGAGAGAGAGAGAGAGAGAGAGAAAGAGAGAAGTAAGGGCACGAGTTGGAGAGAACAAGGGGGATAAGCACGGAGACAGACAGAGGACAAGGAGCATATTGTCCCACGGAAGCACCCAGAGAGAACAGCCACATGTGAGAGTGAAGTAGAGAGACGAGTACGAAAACAGATGAGACTTGAGTCCTGTCCCCAAAGCCACCAGAACGAAGAACACTGAGCAATGGAGAGAGAGGAACGGGAGACGAGGAGATTCCTTTGACCAAATTCACCCGGAGAGAAGAATCGCAATGGAGATAGAAAAATAAAGAAACAAGTTGGGAACAGACAAGGAGACAAGTATGGAAACAAATGGGAGGCAAGAAGAATCCTTTGCCATCGAGCACCACGAAGAGTATCCTGTGCCCAGAAGCACCCAGGAAGAATAACAGTAACAGGGAGGGACAACAAGGAATGGAAAGAGGAGCACTGCAACAAGGTGACGGAAGGGACATAAATGATGGACTCGGTAATGTTTATGGCCCCAAAGCACCTGAAGGTTCTAAAGCCTAGACAGAAACAGCAACGGAGAGAGTAGAATGAGTAGGAAAGTAAAATGGAGTAAGAAAAGGGAGAAAAATTGGCTGAATAAGGGCACAAATTGGAACACATGGGAGGCAAGGAGAATCTTGGGTCCCAAAAGCACCCAGAGATAACAACTGTAATGAGGGTGAAGAAAGCACTGGGAAAGAATAGATGAACAAGTAAGGAAAGAAAGGGAAGAGGAAAGAAACCTTGCTCTCCGTGCCACATGCTGCAGACCCGGAAAGAAGGACGGTAGTGGAGAGATGATAAGGAGATAAGTTGGAAACAAGTAGGAAGGCAAGTAGGGTAACATGTGGTAGTAACCGAGGGTACAGTAAGGGAATGTAACGGATAATAGGTTTCGTCCCAAAGCACACAGAGACAAGCACAGCAATTGAGAGACAAGCAAGGAGACTTATACGAAGGAAGACAAGTAGGGAGAAACATTCTTCCCAAAGCAGCCTGAGAGAAGAATAGCAATGGGGAGGGAACTAAGGATACAACTTGGAGAGAACAAGGGAGACAAGTATACGACTTGGAGAGAACAAGGGAGACAAGTATACGACTTGGAGAGAACAAGGAAGACACGTACGGAAACAGATGGCAGACGAGAAGAATCAGGGGTCCCAACAAGCACCTAGAAAGAAGAACAGCAAGAGAGAGAGAGAGAGAGAGAAAGAAAGAAAGAAAAAAAGACAGAAAAGAAAGAAAGAAAGAAAGAAAGAAAGAAAGAAAGAAAGAAAGAAAGAAAGAAAGACAGAAAGAAAGAAAGAAAGAAAGAAGGGCAAAAGAAAGAAAGAAGGGCACGAAATGGAGACAACAAGGACGACAAGTACGGAAACAGACAAGGGACAAGGAGCATCCTGTGCGCCGGAAGCACCCAGATAGAACAACAGCAATGAAGAGAGAAGTGTCAAAACAAGTTGGGAACAAGCAGAGAGACGGGCGCGGAAACAGATGGGACACAAGGAGAGTCCTGTACCCAAAGCAACCAAACGAAGAACACTGAGCGCGGGGGGGGGGGAGTAGTAGAACAAACAAGGAGACAAGCAGCTAAGCATGGAAACAAATGACAGACAAGAAGAATCCGCTGCCATCAAGCACCCAGAGAAAGAGAACTCAGGCAGGGAGTAGGAGCCAACAAGGGAGACAAGCACGGAAACAGGTGGAAAACAAGGAGAACTTTGCGTCCCAAACGTACCCAGAGAAAAGAATAGCAATAGATAGAGAAGTACGGAAACAAGTTTGAGACAACACGGGGAACGAACACGGAAACAAATGGCAGACGAAGAGACGAAGAGTATCCTGTGCCCAGAAGCATCCAGGAAGAAGAACAGTAACAGGGATGGACAAAAGGAAGGGAGAGAGGAGGACTGCAACACAAATGAAGGACTCGGGAATGTTTATTGCCCCAAAGCACCTAGAGGTCCTAAAGCCTAGACACACGTGGGAGACAAGGAGAATCTTGGGTCCCAAAAGCACCTAAAGAGAACAACGGTAGTGAGGAGAGAAGTTAAGAAGGCAATGGGAAAGACTAGGGCGACAAGTAATGAAAGAAAGGAAAGAGGATAAAAGCTCTCTTCTCCGTCCCAAATGCTGGAGACCTGGAAAGAAGCACGGTAGTGGAGAGATGATCCCGAGACAAGTTGGGGACTAGTAGAAAGGCAAGTAGGGTAACATATGGTAGGGACCCAGGGTAAGGGAATGTAACGGAGTAACGGATAATGGGTTTCGTATGGTTTCGTCCCAAATCACACAGACTTCCACAAAGGAAGGCAAGTAGGGAGAAACAAAGACCAGGAAATCCATTCTTCCCAAAGCAGCCTGGTAGAAGAATGGCAATGGGAAGGGAATGAAGGATACAACTTGGAGAGAACAAGGGGAACAAACACGGACACAAATGGGAGACGAGAAGAATCAGGAGTCCAGGGTCCAAAAGCACCCAGAGAGAACAACAGTAATTAATGAGGAGAGAAGCGAAGAAAGCATTGGGAAAAACTAGAGGAACAAGTAAGGAAAGAAAGGAAAGAGGAGAAACACTCTCCTCTCCGTCCCAAAATGCTGGTGACCCGGATGATGGACTCGGTAATGTTTATGGCCCCAAAGCACCTGAAGGTTCTAAAGCCTAGACAGAAACAGCAACGGAGAGAGTAGAATGAGTAGGAAAGTAAAATGGAGTAAGAAAAGGGAGAAAAATTGGCTGAATAAGGACACAAATTGGAACACATGGGAGGCAAGGAGAATCTTGGGTCCTAACAGCACCCAGAGGTAACAACTGTAATGAGGGTGAAGAAAGCACTGGGAAAGAATAGATGAACAAGTAAGGAAAGAAAGGGAAGAGGAAAGACAAGAGGAAGCAGAGACCGAGGATAAGGGAATGTAATGGACAATAGGTTTCGTCCCAAAGCGCACAGAGACGAGCACAACAATTAAGAGACAAGTACAGAAAGCAGCCTAAGAGAAGAAATGATAAGAATAGCAATGGTGAGGGAATTAAGGATACAAATTGGAGAGAACAAGGGAGACAAGTAGGGACACAGATGGGAGACGAAGAGAATCGTATGCCCAAAAATGCACGCAGAGAAAAGAACAGCAAGAAAGAGAGAGAGAGAGAGAGACAAAAAAAAGAGAAACAGAAAGAGAAAGAGAGAGAGAGAGAGAGCAGCCAGAGAAAGAACAGCAATACAATATGGGGAGACAAGGAGGACGGTCGCATTATACCAAAAGGTCCCTGCCACATATATATATATATATATTATGTATATATTATGTATATATATATATATTATTATATCATTATATATATAATATGTATACATATGCATATATGACATCTCTTCGGCGGAAGAAACGACTTTGTCAAACGAAATGCCACTTTGACGATGTTGTCACAGTCTGTTACCTAGACTCTCCCACCTTTCTTCAGAATGGCGTCTCCCTTTGAAGGCTAAGTCTGGAACGCGGCCAGAAACACGGATCATCTTCGGTTGGCTGTCAAAATAGTCAGCCACCTTAGTGCGCACAGCTGTCAACAGGAAAACCTTGACCCAGCAGCTGCAGGGCGGCACAGGAAACTGCGACTCTGACCACTTGGAAGTTGGCCACGTAGGGCACATCATTTCTGGCCACCTCAATGGCTGACGGCTGCCAAAGTCCCTCAAGGGATCGCCAGATCACATCCAAACTGGGCTGCGCTGGGCTGCGGGCTGTTGGCGCAAACTCCAAAACGATGAGGTGGAACCTTAGACAGCGAGACTTCGTCACGAAGTCGCCTCGTCGCTTCCCAGCTGTAACCCCACATCGAATCATCAAATCATAGAGATCTGGGCCAGTCACTGGTGCGGGAGAATAATGCCCTGTGTGGGCCAAGCACGGAAGGGTGCCTGCTGCACACATCATGAGATGCTCATCATCTTTCGGCCGTAATCAGCCTATGCATTCAAAAAATGTGCGGTATTTTGTTGAAATGTTCCACTTCGGTTTGTCCAAAAATAGGTGATGTGCCCATGTTGTGAACATAATTTTCAAAACATACCGAAAATGTGATGTTCACATTTCTCAAAATCTGATGTTGCAGTTTTCCCACCTCATCGCCCAAGTCCAAGCTTCCCCCATCTTCAACTTTGGCGGCATCCACGGCCGGAAGGATCTGGTAGCTCAAGGGCATGTCACCAGGATTGGTCATCATCACCACCTGATACCTGGCGACCAAGCTGGCTGACTGGGAGAGATCTCGCAGCGAGACGTGAGGTCCGGCGCACGTTCTTTCACCCGGAGGACATGATCTGAATCTCACATTGGTCCTCAGAAGCAAGATTCATTCTGTCCAGAAATGGGGTTTTCCGGTGTTTATGCCAATTGAAATTGGAAAAAGGGTGCTTTTAACGAGGCTTCAAACAGGTATATACGCTCTCTTCAGCATTGAGGACTCCGCTCTGAAATGTCCACTTGCGTGTCTGTTCTTGCAGCCATGGTGTGACCCATCCTTATAGGCAAGGAAATGTCAAGGAAATGTCCTTTGAAACAAAGATCTACAAGAACTTAGGAAAGGACCCTCTCAACGTGATTGTCCATGGCGGCGTGAACCTGCCAGGTTCATGAATGCAACTAGCGGCCAGCTGATGGACCACTGCGCACACTGCATTTGATCATCTGCCACCTCTGCAAATCCACCAGTCTAAAGGTTCTGTTGATCTTTTGCGCCACAACCACTTCCAGCAATTCTCCCTGGCAAGCATGGTGGCCACAAATTGGGCACCACTTGTAAATTGACCCATAAAATTCATGAGGTAGATAATCCTGATCCATACTCTGAGATATATGTAAATGTAGCATGTTCTGTGGCTGCATTCACGCTTCAAAAATAATAAGGCCCGAACTTCCACGGTGCCAGCATCTTGGACGCACGAAAGTTTTGAGAGATCTGCTGAAAATGACTTGCAAACCAGTTGGTTCAACTGACAACTCTGAAACACAACGACTGCAAAGGCAAATTCCACACGTGCGGTCCGGCAAAGCTTCAAGTACCAGCTGCAAGTACTATCTTGCATCAAGGTGGCTTTGAGGTCTGAAAGTCACCTGAAAATCCATCTGTCCCTTTGGCCTCAGCAAAGCATTTGCCAACAAATCCATCAGACTTTAAAAGACAGATCGGACAGACCAAAGGCACAGCTGATACCAGGTCCACTGCCTGATGTCACACGTTGGTGGGTAGACCTTGCCAGGAACCCATGGAATTCACAGCCGCGCTTCACGGTTTTGACTTGCTCGGAGTCGGTTGAGTCAGTTGAGTCGGATGAGCTTCGAGCCGAGAAGAGGGACTTCTCATCGGGGACGCAGGGAATCCGCCTGCGAGGCTCACAGTTTTTCGCCAAAACGATGCGAATGGCGACTGCTGAGGCTACCACGTCTCCCCTGCCATCATCCAGATCACCGTCACCTGCAAAGTTCTGAAATCAACAACACACCGAGTTTCTGAATTTGAAGGAACCAATTTGCCCTTGCCCTGGCACCGCCCGATGGCCTTTTGAGAAGTGCGATTGGTGATGGTCACCGTCTGCTTCTCAGAGGTGGACAGTACCTGGTGATCTCACTATGAAGGGTGAGCCATGCATAGCACTAGTGTCTTTTCTAATGGCAAAATGATAGACCGCAAAGCTCCAACAAATCGTAGATGGAAATGGATATGGTTTCCTCTACCTTTTTGGAGTTTTGAGTGGGATTTCCGTATGATTCGTGTTAGGAGCAAGCGCCAGAAATGATGGGCCCAAATGACCATGCATCAATTCCTGTGTTTCAAGGAATTGAATGATGCGACTACGGCAGGGAAACTCTGGAGCACGGAATTTTGACCAAAATCCATATTTCCCGGGCTGATGGTGATATCCTGCTCAACGACAACTTGATCACAAGAAAAAAAAAACTATACTATTCCCATCAGAACATGAAGCAAAGTACTCCCGTTCCCTTGACAATGAACAACCTCAGAAACCCTGGCTTAGTCTTGGATCTCATTTCGGAGTCCCGTCTCGGTGTTTCGGGGGATGGGATCAACGTCTCTGTCAACGTCTCAATGCTCGGTCCCTCAGCTTCGAGTCTGTTGGTAACATCAGTTCCTGCCGGAGCATAGCGGTAGCAGGTTCCGCATTTACCGCAACAATTTTCTCTCTCTTACAAACATTACACAAATATATTCGTATGCAAATATCATTCATGAGTACATATCTATATAGACATATATCGTATCATTGAATATTATTTGTGCGTGTATACTGTATATACACACAGTATATACTGGATGTCCTATTTGTTCTTTTGCAAATCAAGACCCTTCGGCACTGCTGTGCCCCCGGGTCCAGAAAGGAAGCTGTGGCCGAGAGCTGTTTCACCGGCACCTGAATGGTGGCGACCCATTGGTGAAATATGGGGAATGGGGATGAATGGGGTACCCCTATTTTGGGAAACCCGATATCAAATGATATCAATATCGCTGTAGAACTTGATGCATCAACATCAACTGATGTGAATGTTATACATACACATCATACAACCACTACGTCAATGCAAACATGCAGAATAGTCCCCAATTCGGTTCAAGAAAAACATATGGAAAGCTGGAGGAAATGTGTATCTTTACGAGAGAACCACCAAAGATTTCCTCAGCTGGACACCTCTGGAACTTGTGGGTCCAGCTCTTCTTGTGGAAGCTCATCGTCCAGGGAGGTTCCCTGGCAGTCCGGTCTTCCCTGGACACTCAAATGGCTGGGACCCTTGACCCACAATAGCCCAATAATTCGACCCATGCCCGAGGACATACCAACACTTATTTTTTACAGGTGCTTATATCAGCGTTTGTGACATTGTGACCTTTGTTGGGGTTGCAGGAGAACAAAATATGATTCCAAGCGAGAAAAACAGCTTGAAAGCTCCTCTGGAGTGCTTTCCACGATCTGGTGCTCCCGCACCTGATGCAACATGTCTCAAATTCGGGTGCTTCCACTGTAACCAATTCCATCCCATGGTTTAAAAATTGATAACCATAAATTGGGCACAGTCCCCCATGTCTTGAGACAAACTCATATATAGTACCGAAAATCAGAAGCTTCTACGGATAAAGCGGGAAGTGTCTGCGTGCACATCAAATCTGCTACACCTGTGTTGCTCCTTAGGTTACCGCCAAAAAAAAGTCCCCATCCAACTAAAACAAATTGTGCAGCAAACTCCAAAAGCTAACTCTTGGGAACCGGCCCCTGAGAGCTGCATGTTCCGGAAGATGTCGATGTGATGCTGCTCCAACCTGGAAGCTCCGGATCCCCCATCCGATATCCATTTACCAATTGGTTCTTTTGGTGGTCAAAGAGGGATAGCTCTCCAAAAATTTCCAAAAAAAACACCAAGCATTGGGAAAAAAACAAGAAACACGTTCTAACTTTCTGACTGAGGCTTCGTCCACTTCGTTTGTCAAAATCCGAAAATCCAAAGATAGCAACATCCAGCCCCAGCCGGCCTGGCTGGCCGCACCTTATCATTATGTGCAGACCTTGGCCCACAGGTCCCAGAGGTTCTGGCTCTGGACAGTCGCTGGAGTCACTGCACACTTCAGCAAAAAAAAGGGCGCGGACCCCAGCAAATCCAGGGTCAATGGTGCTGAAGCACCCTTGATGACACAAGAAACCTGCAAGGCTACACAAGAAAAAAATGCAAGACCTATCTGTGACTAGAATCTGCCAGAATCAGCGATCAGTGCATTGGACATTCATGAAAACTGATTCTTGCAAGCACAGTCTCATGGGATTGGTGTACCATCCGTGAAGTGGGCGCTTTGATTGGAGAGCTCTCTTACACAGGTGAGTGTGGCCTTTTTGTGGTAGTTGATTGGAGACATCGGTCCAAAGAGGACTGTCACCACCATGAAAGAATCCGGAGGAATGATGCCCATGGGCCGGTCCAGCCAGAACACACCTGCCAGGCTGAGACAGAACAAACAAGCTTGGGCACGGAAAGTCTCCCCTATTCAAACAGGCACTTGAGTGCATGGAAATCACAGGCTTTCACCAGAGACGAAGTACAACGCAATACACCCGACATCACCCGACCTGCCTTTCTGGTTGTCCATGTTGACAAAATGATATGGTGCTGGTCGGTCGCTGTGATTTTCAAGCTGCAGCCTCGAGCAGTGCGAGCAGCGCACAACTCCCTGAGTTTCCCTGAACGACGAGTGATCTAATGCAGACTCGCCTATCATTGATTCTTGATCAAAGCACACAAGGTCACTTGAGAGGGAAGGGTGAAAGATCGAAAGGTAGGCGTGGGTTGGAACAGGAGAAGAGAGCAAGGGAACGAGGCATATCCGCTGCGGACGGACGTGGGTGGAGTTGGGGCGGATATCGAAAAAAGTCTTCTGGGCTTGGACTCGA